TCTAGACACGTCATTTTTTATGAAGATCATTTTCCAGCTAAGCATGTGACTAAAAATTCAACCTCCTCAAAGAATGCATTGCTCAACTCTCCTTTGCCGGTAAGTTCTTTTCCAGTTTTGCCAAATATCTTGTTATCTGATGATTCCATTTCTCACTTACCCACACACGATCACCTAGTTTCACCTGCATTAAATACCTTAAATATTGAGCCTGCTCTTAATACTACCAATACTACTAGTAATACTTTACAAAATTGTCCAGTAACTCAAACTTTAGATTCGATCTCTCATAATTCTAATATTGAGTTACAAACGCATTCTGCTCCCTCTCAGCCAGCAAGTTCGTCCCAAACACACCCAATTACCATTGATCCAATAATATCCGTCTTGCCCCCCGCACCGAGTCACGATCATCCCGAACCTATAAATCAACCCGTTACTTCTTCAATTGTGACTCGATCCAAAACAGGCCGCAATAAACCCAAACACTTTCCCGATTATAAGGCTTATTATTCGACTAGACACCCTTTGTATGTGTTGTCCAGTGTTTTTAATGAACAGGAACCAACTTGCTTTACACAAGCAGTGTCTAATCCCACGTGGAGGGCGGCTATGGGACATGAATTTGATGCTTTAATGGAAAATGGTACATGGACTTTGTGTCCTCGACCTCGTAATAAGCATGTGGTTCGTAATAGATGGGTCTACAAAGTTAAGAGAAAACAAGATGGCAGTGTGGAGAGATTCAAAGCAAGACTTGTGGCGAAAGGATTCGATCAACGAAGTGGAGTAGACTATCATGATACGTTTTCACCGGTAATAAAACCGACTACTATACGATTGGTTTTATCACTGGCAGTTACATTTAATTGGCCTATTCGGCAGTTGGACGTCTCAAATGCTTTCCTTCATGGTATTCTAGACGAAGAAGTATACATGGAGCAACCATAGGGGTTTATTGACGAATCCAAACCAAGTTTTGTTTGCAGACTACACAAGTCATTGTATGGCCTCAAACAAGCTCCACGGGCGTGGTTTAGACGGCTTTCTCAACAGCTCATTGAATTTGGGTTTTCTGAGTCTAAAGTTGACTATTCTCTCTTTACTTTGCACATGAATGGCCATAAAATTTTTGTCCTTGTCTACGTTGATGACATATTAGTAACTGGCTCAAATACTTTGGCTATTACTAATATTATTCAACAATTACAATCTAGATTTCAAGTCAAGGATCTTGGGCCCATTAGCTACTTTTTGGGTATACAAGCATCACGGGATAATTTAGGACTTCATTTACCTCAGTCTGCATATATCTCTGACTTATTGCATCGAACAAAAATGATTGGCGCCAAACCTCTTTCTTCGCCAACCACATCGGGTTCCAAACTCTCCGCTGAAGAAGGCGAACTCTTGGAAGATGCTACTGAATATCGACAAGTTGTGGGCGCTCTTCAATATTGCACCATCTCACGTCCTGATATAAGTTATGCTGTAAATCAATTGTGTCAGTTTATGCATAAACCTCGGGAGCCCCATTGGTGTGCAGTGAAGAGAGTACTTAGATATTTAAAAGGAAGCATTGATTATGGATTGTCCTATACTCCTTCATCTATTTCTTTGTCTTCCTTTTGTGATTCTGATTGGGCAGGATGTCCAGACGATAGAAGATCGACCAGCAGTTTTGGTGTGTTTCTTGGACAAAACCTTATATCGTGGAGCGCCAAGAAACAACGTGTTGTCTCTAGATCAAGCACAGAAGCCGAGTATAGGTCTATGGCATTGGCTACTGCTGAATTATATTGGATTCGAATGTTATTGCGCGAGTTGGATGTTTCACTTTCTTCTCCGCCGATCATCTGGTGTGATAACATTGGTGCCATTGCTCTTGCTTCAAATCCTGTGTTCCATGCTCGCACTAAACATGTGGAGATCGACTATCATTTTATCAGAGAAAAAGTGGTGAACAAAGACATACAAGTCAAGTATATTTCTACTCACGACCAAGTGGCTGACGTTTTCACCAAAGGACAGACTAGTGTGCGTTTTAATTATTTGCGTTCCAAATTGCTGGTTACGCTTCCCCCATCAATTTGCGGGAGGGTGTTAAGCGTATCTAAATCTTGTCCCCGTCTTAACGAGTTTAGCTTATTCAGTTATAACGTTCCTCCTATTTCTCTGTGTAAATGTGAGAGTTTCACGTATGTCAAACTCTATTCAAATTGTAACTCTTCTGTATAAAACCATATGAATGAAATACAACTCGGTAAGCCGAATATTTTCATCTTTCTCTTGTTTTACACAGACAGTGTTTGAAAAATCTGGAGGGAGAGTTTGGTGATACGAAGAGTCGTTGTGCATGGTGTATTTAACATGGGAACTCGTTATAGTGGGGGTTAGTGTTTCCTCATGATTGCTTGCGTCAGCTAGGTCTTGGGAAACAACAGACCGAGTTTGATCCTTGTACGCAATAAATTCTTGTAGAATATTCCCACTTGTCCTATCTGATAATGTACTCTCGTTAGTCGGTAAAATGGGATTTAATTTTTTATTAAATGTAATATTGTTCGCCATGTGTCCACTGTTCTCTATATCTTGACACGTGTCGAAACTATTTGTAAAAAATATATTTTTCTTGCATGCCTGCACTTCTTCCGGTCGGTGAGTTTTGTCCTTTTCTGTGTCTCCATGATTTCACGACGGTATTCATCTCCATCGTCGTTCAGCACATCAAATCTATTTCCATGAACAGGTGGAAGCTCGTTCTCCCGTTTTTGTAACTTTCGGTTTCCAAGTAACTGAAGGGTTTCTGCCATGGTTGGTGTTTTGGTATTGCTGTATTTTTCTTTCTTCGTTATTGGACCGATGAGAAGTAGATAGAGAGTCGTCCCTATCGGTTTTTGTGGCTACTTTATGGTTTGCAGGTTTTTTCCTTATTTTTCGTTTATCGATGATATGCCATGTAGGTTCGTCTTTTGGGATGGAATGCTGAGGCGTAGAGGGAGAAAGTTTTATCAGATGTGTTGCAGTCACTTTTAGTCTCTTGAGGACATTGGGTAAGACGATGGCCAATAAGCCCGCACAGTGTGCAAAAAGGAGAAGTAATCTCGTAAGAGACGGCTTGTTTAAAGTTTTGGAGGTAGACATTTCATTTGTGTGAATATCCATTTTAATGGGTCGTCCAATAGCTCTGGCTAATTTAAATAGCGCCTCGGTTTGGAAATACTCAATAGGTAGATCGGGCTAATTTAAACGAAGTTTTCTTAAAGTTAGGCTTCCATTGCTTCCAAGGCCCTCCGGCTAACGCAAGAAAATATTCTTCCGGTTTGTTAAATTTCACAATATAGAATCCTTGGCCAAGGTCAGTGATTTCAATTTTATCGGTAAGCCGCCAGATACGTTGAAGTCTAAAACTAATATATATCAAGGATTGTTTTCCGTAGGCCGACTGTTTGTAGAATAAGACTTTTTTTCCAAGGTTTTTGAAAACTATCTAGTTCTAATTCAGTAAAAGAGATATGAGGAACGGAGTCATCCGAAGCATCCCTGGCTGTAACATCCTCCTCCATCTCCTGGTCTGTCTCAACATGTTCAAACCATGTCGAGAAATAAACGTGCTTCGAGTCGTTCAAGAGTTTTTCCTTCCGAAGGTGGGTTTAATTCACTGAACGACGTGTTCTCCAAGTTTACACCGTGCAGTCGATTCTTCTCACCAGACAATAAAGAACTAGGATTTGATGAGGTTGGGTTCTTTGGTATTTGGTGATTTCCGGTGGTGCAGGCCTGATGGTTCGTTGGGGAAGGGGAAGAAAGTGTTTGTTGTATCTGAGGTGTGCTGGTTTTTGGCGGGTTTGGTGGTGGTGGGGGTTCAGGCGGTGGGTTTGCCGCAATCGCAATCGAGATTTCCGAGAGAGAGTTCATGCTAGAGAGAGAATTTCAAATAGTAAGTTCTCTTTTAAATATATTTGTGTAATACATTAATCATGTGATAATCCCAATCCAAGTTTTTTTTGTAAACTCTCTCTCTATATGTCTATAATGGCATTTGCAAAGAATATTGGGTATACTACTAATAATGCAGCAGAAATGTGGGCACTATACATTGGATTAAAAAAGGCAAAAGAACTTGATATGCATCGACTTGTTATTGACACCGACTCATCTTTTCTTTTCTCTTGCCTTGACAGGAAGGAAGCTCCTCCCAGCTGCATGCAAACTCTTCTGGAGGACCTTCGCAGAACACTATCTAAATTCTCGGAGGTGGTGGTTAACTTTTGCTATCGGGAACTAAACTACGTAGCGGATGTATTAGCTAAAATAGGGACATCCTTAGATACGGATGAAATTTTGTTGTACGATAACTGCCCCAGTTTCCTAGAAAATTATATGTATCAGGACCTTTTCTCGGTGTACTCTCGTAGTACATCCAATATAATCCTTGTAATCGTACTATGATCTTAAGTTCTTAATATAATATATCGTTTGTTCTTGTTCAAAGAAAAAGAGAACTTAGAACATAAATTAATAATGTTTTAATGTTACTGTCTTTGGGCCTCTCAATACATAAAAAATTGGGCATGTCAATACATTAAAAAATTTCAAACAAAATATATTAATATTACTATCAAACACAATAATATTACCGTGTTGACACACAACAATAAAAAAAAAAATATATAAAAAATCAAAAAGATAAACGGCGACAGAGTCAAATCGAGTTAGAAAAAAATCATAAGTTGAGTACATTTAAAAGGTTGGAGGTAATTTTTATCATAATATTTATTACATTACATTCGTCTTTGCTAATAATATATTATTTGCGAGAAAAAAATAGTCGAACCTAGATTAATTAGTAAACATAAATTGTGGGGACCTCTATATAGAAAGATCCAAATGAGAAATAATTAGGTTAAGATTTGAGGTTACTTGATCCTCAAGCAACCGACTCAGAGAAGTATTTTTTCATAACTCGTTTGAATATCTCTCAATTCCGTAAAGTCCGATCACAGAATCAAATAAAATGAGGACGATGGTGAAGGGTGGTGGGGTATGGAAGAATACGGAGGACGAAATATTGAAAGCGGCGGTGATGAAATATGGCAAGAATCAATGGCCCAGAATTTCTTCTCTTTTACTTCGAAAATCAGCCAATCAATGCAAGGCGCGTTGGTACCAGTGGCTCGATCCCTCCATCAAAAAGGTGTTTTTCTTCCCTTTCTAGGGTTTCTGAATTTTTTTTTCTTTTTTTTTTTTTTTGTTTATGTATATGATTCTAACTAATGTTGCTGATATTTATTAAATTTTTGATTCTGCTCGTGTGAATTTAACTAATTGAACTACTCCATTTGAAAATTTGGAAAATTACTCCGCGAAAAAATTATTGGGAGATTGATGGAAGTTTATCCATATAATCGAAAGTTTGATTTTGTGTAAATTAGTTTTATTTTAAGGAGTTGTTTGGTTGTTTATTTGAAATTATGGAATTGACTTCGTAACTTCCTATGATGTTGAATTTGGAGTTGGGAGATCGTGTACATGTTCGATCGTTTGTCGATTTGCCCTCACGATTTTTTAATTGGTTGGATTTTTGGTTAACCTCGAATTAAGTTTTCGATAACTAGCGAACCTTTTCGATTTGCAGACTGAGTGGACTCGAGAGGAAGACGAGAAATTGTTGCATCTTGCAAAGAGTATGCCCACACTATGGAGAACTATGTCGATTTTCGGGCGTACTTCATCTCAGTGCCTAGAAAGGTACGAGAAGCTCCTCGATGCAGCCTGTGGTAATAATATTGACGATTACGACCCTCGAAAGTTGCGTCCTGGAGAGATTGACCCCAATCCTGAATCCAAACCAGCTCGTCCCGATCCTGTGGATATGGACGAGGATGAAAAGGAGATGCTTTCCGAAGCAAGAGCTAGGTTAGCCAACACAAGAGGCAAGAAGGCGAAGCGGAAAGCCAGAGAGAAGCAGCTTGAAGAGGCTCGGAAGCTCGCTTCTTTGCAGAAAACAAGAGAACTAAAAGCAGCTGGTGCTGACGTGCGTCAAAGGAAGAGAAAGACAAGTGGGATCGATTATAATGCCGAAATACCCTTTGAGAAGAAGCCGCCTCCAGGTTTTTACGATATCGGGGATGAAGATCGGCCTGTGGAATTATTCAAGTTCCCTACTAGTATTGAAGAGATCGAAGGTGAACAAAGAGTTGATAAAGAAGCGCTTCTACGGAAGAAGGACGTTGCGAGAAATAAAATAGCGCAGAGGCATTGTGCTCCGTCGGCTATTTTGCAAGGTAGCAAGCTTAATGATCTTGAAGCGGTTCGGAAAAGGTCTAGACTAAATCTACCTGCTCCACAAATTCGAGACCGTGATTTGGAAGCCATGGCTAAGATAGGTATTGCTAGTGATCTCGTTGGAAATGACGACATTGGTATGCGTGGCTGTGGCAAATTAAGGCGATCTGAGTTGAGAAAAGAAGTGCTTTCTGGATTTAAAAATGTTCCGCAACCCAAGAATGAGTACCGGGTTGTTACGGAACGATTTCGTGACGATGACGATGAAGAAGAACCGGGTGAGAAATTGGAGGAAGATATCTCGGACAGAATCGATAGAGAGAGGGCTGAGGAAGAAGCATTACTCGAGAAAAAGAAAAGGGCTTCATCGGACCTTGTTAGAAATTCTTTGGTGAGATCCGACAAAGACAAGAGCTCCTTTGTTCATCCTACGCCAGTTGAGCTGGCCGATGAATTGATAAGGAAGGAGCTTCGGTCTTTGCTCGATGAAAAAGCCATCAAGAAAGGCAAGCGTGCTGCAAACGAGAAATCTGTGCATGTGCCTTCCGTTGACGATTTTGAAGAATATGAACTAAAAGAGGTAGGCAATCCAGTTTCATTTCTAACGTAAAATTATTTAAAATGTTTTCGATAGCATACGTTTTGAATTTAATTGATGTGTTTCAAAAAATTTCAAATTTGAAGCGTGATTTAGACAAAGACTGCGAAACCGTAAAGATGTTAGTGTTAGAGTTAACTGTCGGGTTTTCGAAATTCAATGTAATATTTTGAAGGGTATTTTTGGGCATAGAAGTTCATTCTATCATGTTTTTTGTAGTAAGCACTTCCATATGTTTATTGTTGTCACCATTTTCCCTGCATCTACTAATAATTTATTAAATTTTGTTGTTGTACAGGCTGACGAATTAATAAAGGATGAAGCCAAATTTCTTTGTAAATGAAATTAATAAAACATGATTAAATGCTTTAAAGAATGGTGATATTTATTTCTACACTCGAATCCTCTCATTTCACCTTTTTTTTTTTCTTTTCAAATTTTAAAATAATAAGTGTAAATATTTCTTAACTATCCTTAAATAGTTTTATTGTTTTACACCACGATCCCTCTATATTCGTTTTATACTATTTTTACACAGTCTCATCATTTTCCTAACAAAATCCACCACAAATAATCATTTACTTTATCTTATTCTCCCGAAAACAATCACGAAAAACCCATTGAGGAGAAACAAAAGAGAAGCGGGTTTGAGAAATTTGAAAAAAAAAAAAAGTTCGAGGATTTGAGGTGTTTGGATAATAGAATAATTTATTGATAATTGGATTATGGAGTGTTTGACAGTGATATTAGTTAAACGGAGAAGGATAATCAGTTAATGAAGGGTAAAGTGGTCAATTCATGTGAGCAGGGAGTCAAATGAAGTGAAATTAAAACTAGGGAGTGCAGTGCTCGCAGTTTTAGTAAGGGAACTGAATCGTATTTGAAACACGGTTTTTTTTTTTTTTTTTTTTTTTTGTTTTTTTATTTATTTATTTGAAATATAGGTAATTAAAGTTTCAAAGTGAATTGAAGTTTCATAGGTGCAGCTACCACAGACAAAGATCTTATTTATAACCAGAATCCATCTATTTCGACCAAGAAAACATGCCAGACATATCTAAAAATGGTCGAGGCTTGATATCATACAACAATTAATCGGCTACAAATTCATAGAGTCGGGACTAGCAAAATCCTATTAATTTAGTGAAATATTGCAAAATCCTATTAATTTAGCAAAATATTAAATTATTGAAGCAATAATTCATACATTTTCACCGAGTCGGGACAAAGAGAAATTATTATTTAAGCGAAGTTATTAATCTATCGATGTTTTACTGTATTTTATTTTCTAAAATGATGTACCTAAAAAATGAATGATAAGCAATATCTAGCTTTCTTATAGCAAAATCTCTGACATCTAAGATTCTATTGTCACAATAACTAAGGTTCAGCCACACTGCCCTATATAGATTTATATGTGTGCGTGTGCATGCTAAAATAAACAATATTTATAGAGCATGATAAATGAGTGAAAATTTGGGAATGTAAAAAAATCAAATATAACACGAGCAAGAAAACAACAATAATATATGATCGAACGGTGAAGTTTGTTTTTTTCAAATATCTAATATGGAAATGAAAGTGCAATACTTCCAATTGACAAAGGGATGGTTATTATATTATCTAGGCAAGAAGACAGTAGTAAAAAAAATTAAATAAAAAGGGCACCTTTTTATCTCAATAACCATAATTGGTTCCATAAACAGAACCGTAGCCGCCAGTTTGACCACCGTGATTAGGGTTTGAAGGGGGAGAAGTGTACATTGAACCGTGAGATTGCTGACCGTAAGAGTTGTTGTAACCTTGATCAGCTGACGGAGCATGCTGCTGCTGCTGTGTCTGAGATTGGCTTTGGTTTGCAGCAGCTTCAGCCATGAAATTCTGTCCAAAATACTCAGATGTTAATAACTTCTTCGGATTGTTCCGCCCATTTTATTACAATGTCTACATCACAGCAATTTTAAATATTCAAAATACACCGAAAAGAAATACAAAAAAAAAAAACAAAACAAAGAAAAAGGAGTCATGCGTGGAATTATCATGGCAATTTGATTTTGATTTTCTTGAAATAATCTTGTAGATTAGCCTCGATACGAGAATGAATCCCTCTTTTGCTCACAAGGATTAGGTAATATATATATATATATATATATATATATATATATATATATATATAAAGAATATTTGCAACTCCAACTTCGTTCAGCAATTTTCGGGTTTCCGTTTTTTTTTTTTTTGGGACATCAGAAGAATAAAACAATCAATGTGTCCAAACCAACTCAATTCTGGAACCAGACGGAGGAAGAAACATTGTGGAGACAAATTAGGAAAAAAAAAAGAAAAAGAAACCCATATAGAATATCAATTAGTCACAACCCCAGATTTTACACCGGGACACGTTACACATGTGAAAAAACTAAACAAATTTGGACAATATCATATATTGATTTTTCTTCAAACCAATATAAATGTGTAAATGGAAAAATGACATGAAATTTCACGTAATAAATCCCTATATTAGGGTTTGTTTAACAGGTTACCTGAATCAATTGTTGAGCAGCTTGGGCTTGCGAAGCCGTACCACTAATCTCAACGGTCATCTCACCGGGAGCACCCCTCGATTCTTGTATGGTAATTGTAGCACCACTCACTCTCCTTATGTAACTTATACTTGCACCTTGTGTACCAATCACCGCATCCGCATATGATAGTGGAATTTGCATTTGCTGCGTCATCTGTAAAAGTTTATCAAGATTCAAATAAATACATATAATACACTCTCTCGTCAGTTTCCTCAACGAAAAACTCATAACTGAATAAAAGAGCTACATTGATCTTTTAAGCTCTCGTCTTTTAACCTTAAAACATAAAAAAAAAAATGATCTACTGTCAAAACAAGAAAGGTAGATCAATCTAGTTTTTATGCAATAAGAAAATTGTGATATTAGGCTTTTCATACGGGACAAAGAGTTTCGATCAAAATAGAGAAAAGGTGTCTTCCTTAAGTTAACTGAATGAATGACGACCGAGGTTCTTAAGAATAATACTTTTAAGGCCTCGTTTGGTTGGAGAGATTAGCCACTGTTAACTAAATAATTGGACTTTGTTTGATGTTTGGCAAGCCCAATAATTTTCCGGATTGACCCGGAAATATTATTTTATTATAATAGCATATCTTGCCTTTTAGGAGATTATTTATTGGACCTCCCATGGTAAAAATTCAATTAGGTTTTCATTGGATTATTTAATTTTATCTTGGCTAATCTTAGGAATCAAACGAGGCCTAAATAACTTAAATACTTTTCGAACTGAAATTAACTTATATAATTCCGAATTTTCTTTCACAAGACAGATAGATAACTGAGTTTGGTCAGAAAAAAGGGATAACCTGAGTGATTACAGATGGAGCCGCCTGATTGGACGATGAATGAACAGGCATAGGTGCTTCTCTTCCATAGGCAGATATACCTTGATGAGGAGGTTGATTTTCAGGTGGAGGCGCCATGTCAGCAGGAGGATAATAACCATCAAACTGCCTAGAAGGAGGCGGCATAAAACGAGGACTAGCTCCATATCCAGGACCACCATGCCCATGTCCATGTGGACCATGTCCATGCTGTGGTGGAAAAGATTGAGGCGGTGGGCCCCAGTGCTGGTTAGGAGGAGGCATGTGTTCCATATGTTGGTTTTGGTTAGGCGGCGTTTGCATCTGATAACAGAGTAAGACATAAGCTCCACCAAGGTGTTTAATTAAATGGTAAAAGTTAAAAACCCGAATAGGAAAGTAAAAACTTACTTGCATTTCGATTAGAGATACTATGCTCCGATCGACTAGAAATTTTCTCAGATGGGAAGCGATTAATTCGACAGCCTTGTGAAGGTTTGCAGGCTCACCTACTACCTCTACTACTCTATCGTCTTGAAGGGCAAAAATCGGTAGCTCTTCTGCATTGGTTTTTACCAACGATTAAATATATATAGACAGCTAAATTAGTATTACGAATTTGTATAGATGGCGAACATATTTCACACACTGTACATCTGACAATTTACAATAAGGAAAATAACATCGGAAAATAACATCACAGTTGCCAATAAATGATGGACTCTTAACTTGTCCAGGTGTGTTGTTAAGTTCTGGAAACCTTTATTTTACTAAAGTGTGCTATTAGGTTTCAACAAAACGATGCATAAACATGTTTTCCAATTTTCTCGTTAGGAAAATAGACCAAGTTTTTATGGATACGACATTCATCAAAGTGTGCAGTCAAAATGGAATCTCTATCCCATGCAGTCAGTAGATAATATTAGTCGCTCAACTATACGCAGTCAAGTACATGTCACGTAGAGCTGTATTCCGTAAATTACAAAAATGGTACCACGAGTAAATAAATACAGATGAATGAGAGGAAAAGTGAAGAACCTGATCCAAGAACTCTAACAATGCAATTAGAATCTTCTTGAATGGATTTGACAGTGGTGCCTTGCTTCCCAATCAAACTTCCAGCTTGAGCAGCCGGTACGAGCAGTCTCGTGGAGACCTTTCCACCTACGGCTGATGGAGGATTAGAGGAATCATTCTCAAGTCCATCCACAACACGTTCGTGAACCCTAAGAAGACCATCCACAGCTGGTGGAAGAGGAGAATCTGGCTCTTCCTTAGCAGACACCATAACCTATTGCAAAACAACTCAAAAGTTTTAGACAATAAACTTTTTATTTAATTTCTGAAAAAATAAAGTGCATTGTCGCGCAAGCAATTCAAAAAGACCTAAGCTGCTGGATAAATAGGCTTTGTACCCCAATGAGACGTGTCTCCTCATAATTAGAAGGACAGCATAAATAAAAACATTTCAACTGTTAAGGCAACAAGCAAGTCGTTCAACAAAAACCAACACTAGCTCCACCACCCAAAAAAGCAACAAAGAAAAATACAAGAATAGAAGTTTATTGAACAAATATTATGCATAATATAGTAGTGCCTAGTTTTGTAAGATTTTCTCTAGTTTTTCGTGATCTTAGTTCATGTGCATGTCATGTTATTTCAATGATGTTAGACAATGCATGACTGCAGAACACATAAAATGAGAGAGTAACCAGAAATTTAAAATCTAAAAAAAATAGTATAGACTAAAGAAAATAGTGAACGAACAAGAGGCTCGTCAAACGGATCCTAAAAACTTTAATCATTTAAAGTTTAACGAAATTGACTTTAAAGTGAATTTCTTCCAAGAAAAAGCATACTGAAAAGTTGTTGCCGAATAAGGATCCATACAAGTAGCCTCGACATAAACACACACATAAAACAAAATTACTTACAGCTCTCTCTCTCGTTCCTGGAGGACCATCAAGAATCTTAATCCTAGCTTTTGTCTCTTCACAGGTCTTCTTTATATATTCTCCTTTACGTCCAATTATACTACCAACCTTCTGTGCAGGGACCAACATCCTGAAAATACTTTCTCCAGGCCAACCAGGCCATTTTTTACTACCGCCAGAAACTGGGTCATCTTCATGGTCTTGTTTTTCATCGGGATGTAAATTCTCCTGAATTCCATCTTCTGGTTCATTTTGTTCTTCAGGTTCATGCACATGTTCGTGTTCTTGTTCAAGTTCTTCTACATGTTCAAGTTCTTGTTCAGGTTGATATTCATGTTCGTGCACAAGTTCGGGTTGATATTCAAGTTCTTGAGCTTGTTCGGGTTGATATTCAAGTTCTTGAGCTTGTTCGGGTTGATATTCAAGTTCTTGAGCTTGTTCAGGTTGATATTCAAGTTCTTGAACTTGTTCAGGTTCATAAATCTGATCAAGTTCTGCCATGATCTGCACTGCAAAATATGGAATTGAAAAGGCATGAACAACTATGCAGTATGCACATATTAACAATTCTGAAACTGCAAATTACTATTTGATCCCTTAACAGTTTTCATTGCTAGAACAATCAAAACATGTAATTTATTACTTCAATTATCGGTGAAATTATCAAAGAAAGGAGCACAGATTAATAGCCAAAGAGGTATCTCCCTATAGGTGGTACAGTGTTCACCCTGACTCGAGATGCATATTTAAAATAAACTGCGCCTCAGTTGATTATATGATAGAGACATCGAAACTACGATTGTACATTTCAATTAAATAATGGCTTTCTGGTGTTAACGCTAGATGATAACCAAATCAGTTAAGTAAACAAATTGCGAACATAAAATCGCTACAGAAATTTATATTAGCTAAAGGAGATAAAGTTAAAAGTCAACACCTAAACCAAACAGAAATGAAAACACCTCAGGTTGCTATATGCAAAGTGCTTACACTACATATTAAACATACAAAGAAATACAAAGAGCAGTTATTGTACATATAAAGTTCTTTTTGTACATGATTCTAAATTAAATAGTATAACAACTTGAACTTTCTCACACAAATAATATTGTCCTGAATCTGCCCCTAAATGCAAGTTGATAACCAGAAACCACCATTGAGAATAGGCAGGGGCCACATAAATCTTGATACTTAATTTAATTAGCTCAGAGAAAATCGAAAAACTACAAATGCAATCATCAAAAACCGTCTCCACATAATGACTATCAAGAACCTTCAACCACATCAGTAAACCAGAAGTACAGAATACAGTGGCCTTTCATGACTTTCAAATTCTTGAACTACCAATCATAACTAACCGACTGGTAGTTAAATAAACATAACCTTTACTCTAATAATTATCATAGACTGATCATTTAGGCCTCTGCCGGATATAAACCTATCACGCGGACGGAAAATAGGCACTATTGACATGGATATTTTGCATTGCTGATCCAGCGCCAGCAATTCTCACATAGAAACATCACCGCAAAGATAACAATGCTACAACTTCTAAACATTCACTTCGAAATTTTTTATTTGATATATAGCTATGTGGGCCAGTATTTTACAATTAAGAAGCAACTTTCTCTTGTATAGATCATGTATCAATTTACTATAACTACTACTCCCCTTACTCGAATTACTGCATTTACCCGAGTGATCCACAAACGACGAAAATCACGTTTGCTTATCCCTATCCCGATGAGCCGAAACCAAAGCTCTTATTCTCTATTGAGTAATAGTTCGACTAAGCCTTGTGCAATGACTTACAGAACAAATTAAAATAAGGCTAGAGAACTATATTTTTCAGCAGGACATCAACTAATTCTATCTTTTCCCATTTTATTTTGAACTTCACCATTACAGCCAACCCATTACTCAAAAGAATAAAACCCCATATCAATTGAATCTGAATTTCAGCCCGGCGAAACCCCATTAAAGAAGAACAAGAAATCCAGGAAAATTCAAAAAAAAATGAACTAATTCAAAATCCGAGAACACGAAACTGAAGTCAGGACAAAAAAAGCGAACACACTAGCGCCGAATTAAAATGCGTACTTACATGGATAACGAACGGAGAGACTGCAATTGTTTTTTTAAGGAAAGTTAGGGTTTTTTTAAATCGAATTTTAGTCCTAGGTTTTTTGGGAGGTTTAATAATTTCAAGAGGAGAATGAACCAGCTCTGCAGAACATGTATTATGAATAGTTTTTTCTATAATTTATTTAATTTTTTATATATACTCGTAAAAATATGAATCTATCTTTAAATGGAAGAAAAGTTTGCAGCCCAGCAACATGAAATAAGGATTTTTGTATTTACTAGGAGGCCCTTGAAGAAGGACAAAATGCTAACCAGGCACGGAAATGTTTTTGCTTATAGGTCCTTTGAACTTTTTTCTTTTTATGTGTGACGTAACTTATTGTAAATAACTAAAATATAATAGCACAATTATCTATAATTCTCTAAAGGGGTTTGTTTTTACCACTTTCTGTGCAAAATAAATTTTTTTTTTCTTTACCAAATCTTATCCAAACCCCCTCTCAAACACTCTCAACCTTTAATTCTTGAAATTTTTCAATTTCAATAATTTTTCGACCAATATCAGTTAGAGCAAAAGTATTATCGACATTGATAACAACGACTTCGATTTTGAGGTGAAAATACACGTTTTTTGTTCATTTCCAACGTTTTTAGACATTTCGTGTAAAATCTACAAAATGGAAGCTCTTATTTCATATGTTTTTACACGAAATTGTAGCTTACATTTCGTGTTATTTCATACGAAATCCCTTAAATATTGTCTTTTATTTTCAAATATTTATGCAGGAACTAAGAGAACAATCTCTCAATCATAGTCACTTCTTTGAACGTGGTATTGTGTGTGATAGTAGAGAAGCGTTAATTATGTGGGCAAAAGACACAGCAATTAGTCATAATCATCGACTGATTAATCATTGTAATCAGAAAAATATCATGTTTTAACGTGTGCAAGATATCAATCTGGACGGCACGTACTATTGAAGAAACGTTCTTGTCTGTTCAGGTTAATTGGCAAAAAATCAACGGAGGATGGATTATGGCGATTGAGTGTGAGTAATGGTAATCATAACCATCTGCCGTGTATTTGAAAATTTAACTTAAGTTTAAATTTGTATTTGTTTAAATTTTGCATTTTAATGTTTAATTTATGTTTTGAAATATTTAAATTTGTAGCGTTGTGTTTTGCATTTTATGTTTAACCTATGTTTTTTGGAATGATTAAATTTGTAAGGTTGTTTTGGAATGTTTAAATGTGTACTTTAATTGCTTCAGTTGTACGTAGTTTCTACATTCAAATAAAAAAACCAGTGAATTAAAATACAAAATAACAAACTAGTAAATTAAATAGTTCGTAATAATAATAAACAAAATTAGTAAAAAAATAGTTCCTAATAATAATAAAAACAAATTATTAAATTAAATAGTTCCTAACAATAATAAAAATGCATAGTCCTAATAATAATAAAAATAAACTTTAAAATTAAATAGTTCATAAAAATACTTAACTGGCAAAAAAAATCGATAAACTACCGCCTCGCTCTCCTCGGCGGCTGCACCTCATGATCGTCGTCGTCGTCGTCGTTGTCGTTGTCCTGGTCAATGTCAATATATCGGGCGGTGGGCTGCATAATATCTCCAAGGTCGGCAGGTAGATCGGCAAACTGCTGCATCCAGTCCTGTCCAGTGTTCCTGGTGATCGAGTACAATGCACGTACTATCTGGTAATAAGCCGGCTGATCTGGTGGCCTCACATTCTCTCGATGCAGTGGAGCCGGGCCTACGTCGGGGTTGTTGATCTTCAGATGAGTCCGACCGGTGTACCACACTATGTAGTGCTCGTCGACTTCCCCCCGTTGTCGTGCCGTCTTGTATACGTTGGCACGAATAGCATGAGCCTGGACCATGTCCCTGTAGACGCATAAAATTAATTAATTGGTTAATTAAATTAGTCAATAAATTATTGGCCAATAGGATTGTTTCTTCTCCTTCAAGTGTTAAGAGATAAATATCAAATTAATAAATGCCAATCAAATCGCGCCACGTCATCAAGAAGACTTTATGTAGGACTCTTATTCTACCACTATAAATAGGGACCCTCCATATACAATTAAGGAGACAACTCAAAAAGAAGAAAAACCGTAGGAGAAAATTCTCTCTACAATATTCAAGTCGTTCTTCATCAAATTCAAGGCGTTCTTCATCAAATCGAGGGCGTTCTTCAACAAATCAAGATCGAAGGAAGATTGAAGGGCCAAATCCATCAAGAACTCCAAGATCTTCAAGTCAAAACCCGTTAAAGTTCAGCGTTCGATCCGAGATTCAAGTCGCAAGACCCTCGGAAAACGTTATTCAAGTTCAAAATCAAATACGGAGAAGATCAAGTCAACGACCCAACTCCGAAATTCAAAGTCAACATATATTGTTCTTGAGAGAAGAATCAGAGGATTAAATTAGAATTTGTAACCCGCAATATTTTATTTTAATTCAATAAAATTATCTTTGTGCAAGTTTTTCTTGTTTGTTTAAATCGCAGATAAGAATTTGTTACTGCAAATTTTGGCACGCCCGGTGGGACATCTCTACCTCTCATCTCTTCTCTCTCTCTTAGATCCTCGAAGTGTTGCAGTAACTGCTCTACGTTCGCAATGAAGACTGCTACTTCCGATTCATCAAGTGTGGGATTAGTTACAAGGAGTATGGCTAAGAAGCTTCAAGCATCCTCCGAGACTAGCTCAACGCCCCAAACCATTCAGAAAGGCTTACCACCTCTTGTCAACACAAGCGCAAACGTGGAAGGTTCAAAACGAGAGATATCACAGCCCACGCCTCGTTCAACATCAAGCTACTCAGAGGTGGCATCCGTCATGACAGCAAATGCTACAACCATGGAAGAGCAAATTGCAAGTTTAACAAAGGCCATTGAGGGACTCGCAAAGCATGTTTAACAACGAGATTCTCAAATTGCCAACTTGATCAGGAAGCTGGACAAAGCCGATGGTAGCCAAGCTGTGGAGAATCAGGTAGAGGCTCAAGACGAAGTCGAGACATCAACAAAGCAACAACCAGTTGAAAACGGAAAGGCTCCAGCTCAAGAACTTCAAGTTTCTCACGAAGGGCTGATTCATGTAGATCAAGTGATGACGCTGATCAGTGGAGCTATCAAAGACAAGTTGGGAGGAAGCTCGAAGTCGCCATCAACCTATGTCAAGCCATACACACAAAGGATTGATAATCTAAAAATGCCAATGAGTTATATACCTCCAAAGTTTCAACAATTCGATGGCAAAGGCAACCCCAAACAACATGTGGCACACTTCGTTGAGACTTGCAATGATGTCGGGACGTACGGAGATCACCTCGTCAAGAAATTCGTCCGATCACTCAAAGACAACGCGTTTGATTGGTACATTGATTTGGGGGCAAACTCCACTGATAGTTGGAAACACTTGGAAGAAGAATTTCTCAACCGCTTTTACAGCACTCGAAGAGCAATCAACATGATTGAGCTCATGAATTCTCACCAATGGAAGAAGGAACCTGTCATCGACTACATCGACCGTTGGAGAAATTTGAGTCTTAATTGCAACGATCGACTGTCTGAGACATCGGCTATTGAACTGTGCATCCAGGGAATGCAATGGGGACTCCAGTATATCCTTCAAGGAATTCAACCTAGAAGTTTTGAAGAGTTAGCCACTCGAGCGCATGATATAGAGTTGAGCATAGCTGCAAATAGAGTCGACAAACCTTCATTCCAAAAGTCATACCAGCTCAAAGAAGAACATGTCGAAGAAGAACAAGAAGATCATGAGGATGGGGGCAAGTGTTTTGAAGAAACAATATCCTATACAATATGACAAGTCAAATCAAATAAGAAACAATATCCTATACAATATGACAAGTCAAATCAAATCAGCACTCCTTGCAAGAGTTTAAAAGGTCTACAAATTCAAGTTCAAATCAGTACTCCTTGACACGAGTTTAAAAGGTCTACATGTCCAAATCAAATGAAGCACTCCTTGACACGAGTTTAAAAGGTCTACATGTCCAAATCAAGTACTCCTTGACAAGAGTTTAAAAGGTCTACAAATTCAAGTTCAAATCAGTACTCCTTGACACGAGTTTAAAAGGTCTACAAGTCCAATTCAAGTGAAATACTCCTTGACACGAGTTTAAAATGTCTACAAGTTCAAATCCAATCAAAGCTCCTTGATACGAGCATAAACTATCTATATCTCCAAATCAAATCAAGGCTCATTGATACGAGCATAAACTATCTACATGTCCAGGTCAAATCAAGGCTCCTTGATACGAGCATAAACTATCTACATATCCAAGTCAAGTCAAGGCTCCCTGATACGAGCATAAACTATCTATATATCCAAGTCAAATCAAGGCTCCTTGATACGAACATAAACTATCTATATATCCAAGTCAAGTCAAGGCTCCTCGATACGAGCATAAACTATCTATATATCCATATCAAGTCAAGGCTCCTTGATACGAGCATAAACTATCTACATATCCGAATCAAGTCAATGCTCCTCGATACGAGTATAAACTTCTGTATGTCTAAATCCAAATCAAGGCTCCTTGATACGAGCATAAACTATCAACATATTCAAATCAAGTCAAGGCTCCTTGATACGAGCGTAAACTATCCACAAATTCAAGTCAAATGCTCCTTCAACACGAGCTTAAACTGCATATATTTCTCCTTGTCCACATGAGTATAAACTATGCACGAAATCCCTCAAAAGGATATATTTCGAACTACGCTATGACTTGATCCCTTTATAGGGTATGTAGGAAACTTAGAATCTCTCTCAGTTCAGTCATGATTTCAAAATATATATGTGCGCTGCAATTGAAGTTAAACAATTATCGAGACTCATTCACTCCAAGACGCATTGTCCGTGAACAAGTCCCGAGGGGGCATTTGTAGACGCATAAAATTAGTTAATTGGTTAATTAAATTAGTCAATTAATTATTGGCCAATAGGATTGTTTCTTCTCCTTCAAGTGTTAAGAGATAAATATCAAATTAATAAATGCCAATCAAATCGCGCCACGTCATCAAGAAGACTTTATGTAGGACTCTTATTCTACCACTATAAATAGGGACCCTCCATATACAATTCAGGAGACAACTCAAAAAGAAGAAAAACCGTAGGAGAAAATTCTCTCCACAATATTCAAGTCGTTCTTCATCAAATTCAAGGCGTTCTTCATCAAATCGAGGGTGTTCTTGAACAAATCAAGATCGAAGGAAGATTGAAGGGCCAAATCCATCAAGAACTCCAAGATCTTCAAGTCAAAACCCGTCAAAGTTCAGCATTCGATCCGAGATTCAAGTCGCAAGGCCCTCGGAAAAACGTTATTCAAGTTCAAAATCAAATACGGAGAAGATCAAGTCAACGACCCAACTCCGGAATTCAAAGTCAACCTATATTGTTCTTGAGAGAAGAATCAGAGGATTAAATTAGAATTTGTAACCCGCAATATTTTATTTTAATTCAATAAAATTATCTTTGTGCAAGTTTTTCTTGTTTGTTTAAATCGCAGATAAGAATTTGTTACTGCAGTCCCACATACCACCCGGAAATGGGTAGTTGACTTTGTACGATGTCTCCTTTGGGACTGCGTCAACATGGCTCCATCGATGGAATCAAGTCGCGCGGAATATCCTGAACCCACCCGAACTTTCGGACGCAACAATCAGGCATATACAGCTCTACGACCCACATGTACTGGATCGTGCCATGATACAACGTACGAGGGATACTCTCGTGTATATCCCGACCATACGGTAGCCACTCGACCTAAACAGAAAAAAATATAATTACATAAATCAAAAAATTCATATTTAAACAAACTACAATTACATAAAATCGAAAAATTTCATATTTAAAAAAAATATAAACACATAAATCGAAAAATTCATATTGAAAAAAAATATATATATACATAAATATAAATACATAAATATAAAAAGCTTACATCATCCGCTGTCATATTGTCGAGTAAACCTCGAATATGCTCGAGCGTGCCCGCTATTGGCGGCGCGTTCCACCTCTTGCATTGAGGCTGAAACTCGCGGTACCGCTCGCTCTGCTCCAGCGGCTGGAATCTCGAGAAATACTCGTATATCCAACACTGCAATATTTAATTTACAGATATTTAGGAAAATAAACAATAGAGAATATATAAATTTAAAAACATTATGAACAAAATAAGTACAAAAATATATTACAATTTACCTGAAGAAGGGTGGTGCAACCCGCCAAGCTCCTCACTGTGCTAGGCTGCATATATCCAACTCCCTGTATAGATTGGCCAAACAGGCCGAACCCCACGAATACGTGTCGACCTGATCAAGCACTGAATCCTCGAGCATGTGCATATACCAGCTTCACCCGATCACATGTCTTGTCGGGGAATAAAATCGATCCGAGGAGAAACACCAGATATATCTGAACTCGGCGTCTCATGGGCGTGTCGGGCATCAACAACTGTTCATGTATCATCCTCCATGTGGGGTCCCCATGCTTCCATGACTCGTCAATCTCCTCAAAATCGAGGTTTAATACCTCGGGCAGCAAATACACACAGTTTATCCGCTCGATGACCTCGTCGTACCTAGGCGCGACCACCCGTCCCTTGACATTGTCACCTAGAATCATCTGGACATCGTGGAGAGTGATAGTCATCTCTCCCCACGGCATATGGAAGTTGTTCGTCTCCGGCTGCCACCGCTCCACAAATGCAAACAACAGCGGAGCATCTAGGCGCGGTAAATAACATCGGGCTAGGGGATACAAACCGGTCATCCGCAGAAAATGCTTGTCTACGGATACATCTATGTCTTCTAGGGCAGCTGCTATCTTCTCGTAGTTGAAATGGTTCAGGTAGTTGATACGGGACTCCACTCGTCCCACCGGACGTTCCTGCAATCATTTATTTAGAAAACATATTAATTAATCAACTATAATTTTTTTTTAAATAAGATACAAAAATTATAATATTAAAATTAAAACAAGTAATTAACTTACTTCTCCCTTCCAAATATATGCCGCTACGTGCGACTTGAAACTCGGAATCAAAGACGGATCCCACGGGCCACCGGGAAATGGACCATCTAGCACATCCGGATTGACTCGAGTATGAGCTCGACCACCACGACCTCCACGACCTCCACGAGCTACAAACTCAGTCTCGTGAACGGGGTCCACAACATCCTCCTCCTCCTCCTCCTCCTCCATTACACGAAAAGACCCAATATTGGGATGTGCAACCGATGATCTGGCTTCACCAGCTCTCTCAGCCTCTCGCCTACGTCGTGTAGACATAGTCATGTGCTCGCGCTCGCGCTCTTGATGCTCAACCTCTTCACGAAATGCTCGCATAATTGCCTTTGATTTGCCTTTGCCTGCCATCTGTTAAATAAGACACTATTAACGTCAGTCTAAATAATAATAATAAATAAAACAAATCTTAAAAAAAAATTGAAATTTTGCAGTAATTTCGTGGAAAAATACACAAAATTAATGCTTACATTTCGTGTTTGTGTTCAGGAAATACAAGCACTAATTTCGTGTGTTTTTCCACGAAATAACTGGAAAACGGCCAAAACACATATTTTTCGTGCAAAATATTACGAAACAAAAGCTTTGAGTTCGTGAGAAATATCACGAAATGTAAGCTTTTGTTTCGTAAGATTTTGCACGAAACGTAAGAGAAACAAACACTCCTGCTAATTTTGTGGAAAAAATCACGAAATTAGCCCTTTAATTTCGTATTTGTTTCACGAATCGCAATTTGTTTTACGAAAAGTTTCGAATTTCTTCGAAATACTGAAAACGTATAGATTTTCGACGAAATTTCTTAATATACTACTATAAAACATTGGATTAACGATTTCGAGTTCGAATTTTACCTTAAATCGTTGTTGAATTGCTCGTTTAATCTGCAGGAATTCGAAGGGCCTTAGATAGGGTTTGAGAGGATTTTGAATTTTTTGAAGAAAAGTTACAAATGAAATAAAATCGCACTGCAAGCCGGTAAAAGTTGTTCTATGAATAGCGTTTCAGTTCTCTAAATTATAATTAGCTTTTAAAAAGGCTAAATATTTTTATTAATTATAAGTTCTTTAGTTTATCATTTTCATTATGTGTGTATCGTAATGACTATTTCAATTTTCAACTAGGCTCGCATTGGGTTGGTTTTACTTTTACTCAACAATTGATAAATTATCAATCCACGTTTTTAGGTCGATAATAAATTGATAATCGATCCATTGGATAGGGTCAAAAGATTCAACTAATTCATTTGTGATGAGTCGGTTGATGGTTCCTAATATGATCAAAAGTTAGTTGACCGATAATTATTGATCGATCGACTATATTAATAAAATATGATTATAGTATAATTGTAATTTCTGAATAAAAGGTATGGTTGTTTGGAGGCAAATTTTTTTTAGTGTAGTTTTGAAAAAAAGTTTCTAAAATGGTGTTGTTTTGTAGGTGGTAAACAAAGTGGGGTTGAGCGCCACCACCAACGGCGGCACCGCCAGGAGGCGCCACCACCAACGGCGCCTTCAACATGTATATTATTTTACTTTATCTTCTGATTTTTTATTTTTTTTTTACAAAATAAAAAAATTCAAATTAAATTCATTAGTATTCAATTTATTATATTTTATATATTTTCTCCATTAGTATTAAATTAATCATTGCATATTTTTATCTAATTAACACATTAAAATAGTGTACTATCTTAAAAGCATGTCGAGAAAAACAAAAGGATTTCTAGAAAATAAAAGAGTTATACAAAATAAATATGTCCAATAGCAAAAACAAAATGTGTACAATGAAATAAAATTGGCACTATGAAGTCAGTGCCTATGTGAACCAGTGCCACATGCAGGTGCCCGTCTAGTCCTGCGTGGCCTACCATCTCGACGAATGTCAGGTTCTGCTGGTACATCATCAACAAACTGGGTGTCATCCGGTGGATATGGAACAGGGGAAACATTATATTGTGGTCGGCTCCGCTTTTGGGGACTTGAGTATCCCAAGTTGAGCTCCAAATGTGGACCCCATGAAGAGAACCGAGTATCAATAGCAGGAGGATATGGGGTAGCTAGAGAATCGGACCATGGCATATCTGGAACGTAATCATTCGTATATGGACCAACTAAATCTGTCAATGTGGGTACCTGAGATGTAGACGGACTGAACATATCCATAAATCCCTGTGTAGTAGATAAATCGTCCATACCTCCATGCACAGAAACATCTGCATAAAAAGGCGTATGAGAAGCAAATGGACCGGCACATCTCTAGATGGAGGTACCCGAGATGTAGATGCATAATAGTTCCCCTCTCTCGTCTTTCTCACGTCATGCTCCAATTCAGTAGCTCTTTCGGCAGCGCTGGACCTTCTTCTGGTACGTCTATCTCGATGCGGAGAAGGTATAGGAGGTATGGCAGTTATCAGAGGTAAGCTGGACGAAGCACCATCTCTACGTAGAAGTTGAGTCCCAGCTGCATACATCCGTGTAGCGGTGTCCTGATACAGATCATATATCCGATCATCATCTCGAGACACTGCTCTAGCAGCAAGACTCATGGATATAAGTTGATTACCCTGAAATAAAAGGTATTACAAGTTTAAGAACTTAAAAAACTGAAAAAATAAATTGAAAAACATCGAAAGTAATGGTTGTTTTGAGAAAAATACTAACCACAAGATCCAGTAAAATCGGGTCTCCCACCTGAAAACCGATATCATCAAGATTGTCAATCGGTGATATCAAACGACGTGTGTGCCTCTCATACCACTCGTAGTATCCTGAATTTGTCTGAGGCCCACTAAACTCAATAAATGGATTGTCAGCAGAAGAATCAAGTCAGCCATGCCATCTATCAACATAGATACGGTGAAAACGAGCTCAATCTCTACCCCCTGCACCTCGACGATCATAAGAATGCAACTTATTCTCAATATCGTGATCAGTAGGATGTGGTGGTATATGTTGTACCCTCCCAAACTGACGTAGCACCCTATACGGACGATGCATCTCAACTCTGTCGTAAAATATAAGGGGACAACTCGACAACCAAAGTTGTGGATGCACTATCTCAGGATGCTCAAGTAAAGCGCCAAACTCATGATCTAGTTCACTATAAGGCATCCATGTAAACTAGAAAAAAAAAAATATTTTTTAATATATTGTTAAATAGACCACAAACATTAACGTAATTGCAGTTAACTTATAATAACCTGATCCCAGAGCATCCGTTCGAGCGTCGTACGATAAACACGTATATTGTTTCGCGAGGACCGAGTGTAGCTAGTAGGTCTGATCCAACTGTAATATCATACAAAAATTTGCTAAGTCAATATATTAACCTTCATATAAATAAATTATTAGTACTAAGATGTTTACCCTGCACCAGAAGGAGGGTGGTGATATGCAAGCCAACGGGAATCATCTTTTACTACTGGTAGTATTGCTGGAGCGAGTAAAGGTATCCTCGACCATGCCCAACAGTAAGTATTAAACATAAAAAATATCAAAAACCGCAAGTATAATAAACTATTAATTTAAATTTTAAAAGTATTAAAAATCGTATTACCTGTAACAGAGTAAGCGCACCACCTAGATTAGTTTTCCTCGTATCCAACTCAACAGTGCCGCCTTGTTCCACAAATTTCCTAAGTAAAGCCCCAGTGCATACAGGACTGTTCGGCGTCTCCATCTTCATTGTCGGCGTCTCTCTCGCTCCACTAGTCTCACAATAGTTAGGGATGCCTTGTGTCGCGACCAGAAAATCCGGAGTCACCTGTGGTTGTGAGAAGTATGGTTCATTCAAATCAAATGCCTCTACGCTCACTTCTAGTGGGGCACTATCAATGTACTTCGGTTCAATCTCAACAAATACTTCGATTGCCTCATTCCCTTCGTCCGGATCGATATACATTTGTAAATCTTCATCTGTTGTCATCTCGGTAATCATCACTTTTATTATTTCTCCATTATAAATGTAAGTTTGCAACACACTTTTAGACCAAACTGATTAACATCGACATTTAGACGTTGATACAACTTTGACAGAAAATGTGCAAATGACAAGTCACGTTTAATTCAGAATGTTGTTTTGTGGGCACTACTATATTGCACTACCCAATCATCAGGAATTATGTGACCTCCAAAGTACACGTACACTTTAACATTATTTTTAGCCGCCATCAATCTTCAAAAGATTAAGGAGATAATTAACTCATCAATCAAGATTAATTAATAATGAGGCACATTAGTTAAAAAATAATAATGTAATTAAGCACACTTCCCCTTATGTTTTACAACACCATTTTAGTTACTGTTTTACAAAACAACACCAAAAAACAAATTTGCCCTTGCTTATAAAATATAAATAGTACTAATACCTAGTATAAAATAAATAAACTACTAACTAACTAACTAACTACCCACATGCTTCATAAAAAAACACTAACCACATATATTTATAATAATTAATTAAAAAAAATTGGACATAATAAAAAATTATAATAATAATTTTTTTTCAATTATTTACAATAATAAAAAAATATTTTGGGTGAAGAGCACTAGCGGCGGGGGAGGCGGCGACGGGGGAGGCAGCAGCGGGGGAGGCAGCAGCGGGGGAGGCGGCGGCGGGGAGAATGGAGAGACGAGTCGGCGGCGGCGCCAACGGAGGGGGTCGCCGGAGGTGTGGTAATTATATATATATATATTTTTTTTTTTGAATTTTACAAGCAACTTTTCTTTTTGTTTTTTTATTTTTAACAAAGAGAGAAGAAAGGAGAGAGGAGCTGAGCTGGGGAAGAAGCCTGTTAGAGGAGAGAGAAAGAAGACGCCAGTGTCGGTGGCGTCTCCGGTCAAGGCACGGTCTCCGAGGTGGTTGGCTCCGCTTCTGGCCGTCGGATCAAATTTTCGGTTGGGCCATCTAGACCGTTCAAATATTAAAATATTAAAATATAAATATTTAAAAATTAGACAGAAGGCGCTATTGGAGGTGGCGCCTCATGCCGGTGCCGCCGTGGGGGTTGGCGCTCAACTCCAATTTAGTTACCACCTACAAAACGACACTATTTTAATTACTTGATTAAAAAACCACAACATAAAAAAAAATTTGCCCCCGGTTGTTTGTAAGTGGGTCAAACTTGAGATTTAGGAGTTTGAGGTAGGGGCATGCGCGGGTCGGTACGGCTCGAGTTTTGCAATAAATTAAACACGTACCGATAATATTGGTTTTTCACATTTTAAAAATAGAACATGTCGGTTTTTTTCGGTTTGGTGTTTATTGTTTTTTCGGTTTTCGATTAATGGTTTCGGTATCAATTCGGTTTATTTTCGATTTCGGTTTCGTCTATCATATCGGTTCGGCATAAA